AGAATCTTCAGAAATTGAAAGAGACATAATCGAATGTAGGTATCTACACCTAAGTTACAAAAAGGTCTAAGAGATTACCTGTAAATTAGCTTCAGCCCCAGGGCTGGAATTGTCGCTTTCGACAGGCTTATTGAGAAGAACGTTTAGTTCCTCCTCCGTTGGCTCCTCAATGATCACTGGAGGTGGCCTGGGCTTTCTCCCAGTAACCTTTATTCTAATTGTTCGACCCTCAGGAGCAGGAGCAGGAGCGTCCTTCGTCAGCTTTCGCCTTTTTAGAGGAGCAGGGGGAGAATCACCTTCTTCATCGCTCCCAGATTCGACCACCAGTGTTGGCCATTTCTTGGGCGAAGGTGCCTAAAAAACCAATGGGAATTCGATTTAGCAATTGCATCGAAATTCAAAAATCGAAAGCCAGAAGGAAATAATGAAAGTCTGGTTACCGATACAGAAGGCTTCTTCGAAGGGCCTTCCCCCTGTTGGTTGGTTGTGGTCTTCGCCGGCGCTGTAGTCTTCACCGGCGGTGGAGGTTTTGTTGAGGGGCCTCCTCCCTGTTGGCTTTCTGCAACCTTTTTGGCTACAGGCTTTCGAACAACTGAAATCAAATAAATAGTTAACAGGCTAGCAGTCGAAAGAGAAAGACAAAGTAATGTGAAAGGATGAACTTACATTTCTTTATTTTGTCCAACACAAGGACAAAAGATTTCTGAAGCTCATCCACGAAGTCCTTCTCGTCGAAAAACTCCTCAGCGTAATAACTTTTCCACCACTCCTCGAAGGATGGTGAGCAAAGAAAGTTGAGCTGGTAGTCAAACAACGAGATAACTGTTCGACCAGCATATCTTCCGATATGTTTAGTGGCAGCTTCTTCGGTGTAATCATTGCAGAAGTACAACATAGACTTATCTCTTGGAAAAATCGGAGAAGGTAGGGTTTGAATAATACCAAACTGGCGAGATACCAGGTTTGGTTGGTATGCAATCAGACTCAAGTGAGTCTTAGAGCTCTTGAATCGAAGAGGCATGATCCTTGGTGTGAGGAACGCCTCCCACATTGTTGTATGTTCGTCAACTTGAGGACCACTCGACGTCCTTGGATGTGGCCTTGTGAACCATGCCGGGCCTACCTTCCGTCGAGCAAACGGAGCCATAGTCGAAACAAACTCTTTCCTTCGAGCAAACATCAGAACGAAGTTGGTGAAAGTTTGCTGAAACTCCAGTCCATCTTCCATAGGCGTCAACAGAGCCAGTCTGGTTCCTTCGACGCGTCTGTTCGCTATCTCTGGAGCCTGCTCATTTATTTGAACCTTCTTAGGCAAGAAAGATTCGAAGGTGGCATTGAGCCACAGTTGGAGAAGCCAAAAAGGCCCAGCAAGTAGCAAACTGGCCCTGTTCTCGATAATTTTTAGAAGAGTTGCCCCATTACTAATCGAATCATAGAGGCTAGCCAAAATCAATTCTGCCAAACAGATATTTTGGCCATGATGGAGTTGGGTGGCGAGAGTTACCATCTTCTTGGTCACCTGTAAGGACTTCGAGCAAAATACAAAGCGAGTCAGCCATAAGGCTAGAAACGCTATGTGTTCGACATCCGACACAGCATCTGTCGACCTGTCGTGGTAGTGATTGATGAAGGTGGTATAGGTTGGTTTGGTGGCAGAGAATCCAATTTGATCCTCCGACATCTCCTCCGGATCGAAGTAGTCCCCGGTGGGTCGAAGGCCAGTGATAGCGGCCACATCGAAGAGTGTAGGAGTCAGCATCCCACAGGGAAGATGGAAAGTAAAGTGGGAGTAGTCCCAAAAAAGTAGAGAAGCTATCAACATCTCCGGAGAATAGTTCAAACCTGTCTTCGACAGCATCACCAGGTCGAAAATCCCCATATCTTTCCAGATCGAAGTTTGGCGTTTCTCCATCTTTTCCAGCCAAGCAACGTAATCAGGAGTAAGGCTAGGGCCAGACCTGAAAGCCCTAACACCTTTGTTGAAGAAACGAAGGTCGATTTTCTCTTTAGCAGGCTCTTCATTATCCTCTGCATCTTTCTTGGCGCATGCAACCGGTTTGAGTTTCTCAACTACCGGAAAATAACTCTTGATCTTCATGGCCTCAGCAATACTTGGATACAAGGGGCCAGACATAGAAAAGATCTGGTTGGAATATCCAACCGGGATCATAAGGTGGTGTGAGTAAGCATCACGTACGGCGATGTCCAAAGGTTCAGGGACCCTTCGTTGGCCCGTAGAAGTTACTACTGGAGCGGTGACGAAAACCTTAGGTTTGACGTTTCCAGATGGTACGGTAGCGCTAGGAGCATTAGAACCAGATGCCATTGTTAATGATGAGGTTGAAGACGAAGTGAAGGAGGAAAGGTTTTTGCAAAGATGACAAGTTTGTATGAAAATAGAGAAGTCTGAAAGCTAGATGGCGTAAAAAGTCCCACAATGGGGTACTTACTGCTATTTATAGTAGTGGGAGAAAATCCCCAAAACCGAGGACATTAAATGCCATTTAATGTTGCAAGAGATAGTGGGACACGTGACATCCCCCTGTTGTTTTAGCCGTTCTGCAGAAATAGAGGGACGCAGCGTGCGTCCTCGTTTTTGGGAATTGTCATAATGACAAATTCTGAAATGACGTTTGGCACTGCACGCCGTACTGAAGTGACGTCTTAGGTACGGATAAATGATGGTTTTCTTGGGATTGCCAGTGGTTGGTAGAAGACAACAAAAAGTGCACAATTTAATTTGTGACTAAGCGTGAAAAGACAGGTGTCGAATGGCGTTTCAAAGAATGCCTTTTTCTTTCAGAGTCGAAATAAGGCATTCTTTGGGGGCAATTTGTTGGCTCCTAAATTCGACACCCTTGTTTTATTAATGTCAGCCATTAAAGCTGAAGGATGTTTTCGACTAGCTAGGTCCGTCGAAATGCCCATCGAAAGATGGCAAGGTACTTAAAAGATTTCTTCCAAGGGAGAAGTTGGTTGCCTTCGACGTCGAAGGCGTCTCTCGTCGAAGATGCTTCTCGACAAAGGTGTTCGATGGTTCAGAGTGGAGCAGTTTGAAATTCAAGCGCTTGGAGGGAAAACAGTTTCCAGCGGTTACCAAGTGCAACGTGCGAAGATCTGGAGCGTCGAACGTTGAGAACGTGCCAAGTGGAATCATCTCGAAGCAGTGTAACTGCCCGACAGTTACTTGGGATGTTTTAGTATAAATAGTAGTAGTCATGTAGTTTCTCGCGTGTGTTCACAATTCTATACAAAGTCACTCATATAGATTCGAGTACCCAGCGTGTGAGAAAGAATTGTTGAGAAATGTATGTGTGAAACACCAACTTTATTAATCAAAGTCATTTACTTTCCCAGAAATTTATATGCTTTCTTCTTTACTTTCCTGTCGAACCCTTTCATTTAAAGCCTTATTTATTTTACCAAGTCCTTTCTTCATGCAATTTACTTAAAGCCTCTTTATTTTATTGTCATTTAACCAATATCCAATTTAATCAAACTTCAAAATCAACCTATGTCCTAGGATCAATCTGATCGATCCTGCGAGTAACCAAATAAGTAACCATTTGGAGGATCAACGGTTGTTTACCAGATACCAAGGTAAACAGCTACAACTTCATTCAATTTCATACCTGAATTGTTCTTCAACTTGTCAACAATCACTCTAGATACCCAATCAACATTAGCATTCTTGTTGAATAACTTTCTTCCACATTTGTGTTTCTAAAATAGAGTTTTGATTCTGAATGATGTTGTTCTCAAAACTCTGTTGCATAAAAATGTGTAATCACATTGTTATTTGTCCTTACAAACAACCATACACATTGTCCCATCATTTTTGGCAAACCTAACCTCCCTACCATTCAACACATTGTGTTCCAGTATAGCCTTTTTAAATTGCTTCAGAGAACAAAATTCCATTCCCACCTTGAATTTAAATTCTTTTCCAAGATTTTCATGTTCATTAAACCTTATCACTAAAGGCCTACCATCATCACTATCATCATCTGCCCCACTATCAAGCTCATATGTGATGTAACCATCCTTAATTACATGCTCCCTTTGCATATCAGATGTAGTCAACCCTTTATGTATCACTTGACCATTATTCATTTGACCTGTACCATCACCATTATCCACTCCACCTGTATGTATCCCTTGACCATCACCCATGTCTTCATCAAAATTGTGCGTCCTCTCTTCTTCACTATCTTAAAAGTGTATATCATTCAAAGGGTCTTCAGATGATTCACTGTCCTCACCATCTTCATTTTTCTCAATATTAACATGCCATTTTTCTTTCTCTTTTAACCTCTCCATATAAGTCTTCTCACCACTAGATAATCTTGCTTTTGTATATATCACAACATCACACTCAGTCTCCTCAATACACATAGCTAACATTGTTTCATGCTCATAATTAACAAAGGGTTTTAGATCATTTTCAAGTGAGCCATGTTCAAACTTCCACCATATTTTAACATCTTCAGTTTTAAACGATGAATCCATACCCTTAATTAAGTCACATGCTTCAAAGTATGACCAGAAATTAGGGTCTTGCCCACATACAATGTAAACATCCCCCCTTCATATTTTAACCCTTCATCCTTTACAAATGACCCTTTGGTATAAAAGACAATCTTAAATAACCCCACTACCTACCCATTTCAAGAAAAAACAAGGATAACTCAAACATTACCAACAGATTAAAACTAAAAACCCTAGAATTTGGGACCAGCACATGGGGCATACAATTAATACTCAAAATGAATAAACTATAATAAGTGGGACTCACCTAATCGTTGTTGGGATCGTTAGTGAAATTTGATGTTACGGACCAATTATTCAGACGAAAATTTTTGAAGGAACTAAAACTTGAAAGAAAATATTTGAGGGACTAAAAACGAGATTTAAAATATTTAGAGGGACAGAAAAGACTTATTTAAATATATATAGTCCCAATCGTGAAGTGGGCGCGAGATAGATAGCAAAAAAAAAATATGGTGGAAGCTGTGAAACTGTTGAACCTAACATGGCAGCCACTAAAGAACCATTTCTTTCACTGCTCCACTTACGCATTTCGTCGAAAACCTCGCACCCTTCTTATCCGCGCCTCCTCGTCTACAACTGCCGCCTCGGGTCGCAACCGCCGGAGCTCTGCGTCGTCCCCCGCCACTTCCACCTCCGATAGGGAGGCCATTCGAGCCATCCGCTTGAAAAAGGTACCTTAGCCATGACCTGAGATGTTTGGTTTGCTTTGTTTCCTATCAATCCTTGAGCTGAATCGAAGTTGTTTTTGTTTGAATTTGAAACTTCCATAATATGAAAGTGTTCACCGAACCACTGCAATGTGCTATTGCCTTTGGGTTAAAGCTTGGAAATTTGTTTTTGGGGTGAAATCAATTTTTTTTTACTCATTTTTGTATAAAGAATTATCTGAAACGTATTTTACTTGAATTTTACTTTTGGTGATATGGCTGAAATTGAAATATGTTAGCCCTATTTGGACAAACGACTTAATTAAGCCCGAAGAACATAAACACTCATCATGTAAGTGCCTATGAATCAGTTATTTATATAGCAAACGATCAAATATAGTCGACCTGATTTTATATAAGTTATAAGTTGTTTGCAGAGATTATGAATGTAAGTCAAAAACAACTTATGAATATTTTATAGGCTTTAACATAAGCTCTATCCTAGAGAGCTTCTTACAACTATCATTGCTTGGGATTAGGTGGACCTTTGTTTGATTATGGTTAGTTTGAACAATGTGATGGGTTTTTATCGCGTGCTACCAAAGGGATAAACTAATGGTCTTTATTTTGAGAAGATTGTTTTATTGTATTTTGCTAACCCTGCTTTGTATATTTGTAGGTTGAAGAAATTAAAAGCAAGGGACTCAATCCCTATGCTTATGAATGGAACAAAACACACAGTGCACAACAGTTGCAAGATATATATAAAGATTTAGAAAATGGTGAGGAAACTAATAGTGAGAATGATCATGTTTCTATTGCGGGAAGAATTATCGCAAGGAGGGCTTTTGGGAAGCTTGCCTTTTTGACACTAAGGGATGATTCAGGGACAATTCAGGTTTTTTTACACTTTTTATTGACTTTGTACATTTATTGAAACTTTGACTGAGACATGTCAGACTTTTGTTAAGTATATATGATCACTGTATCCTTATTGAAATGTCTTCATAGTTTGTTGCGTTCTTTATTCATTGATAAGTGTTGTGGATAGATTGTACCGGAAGTTAAAATCTATGTTTTCAGCTATATTGCGAAAAGGAAAGACTTGTAGATGACCAGTTTGAGCAATTGAAGGCACATGTTGATATTGGTGATATACTAGGTGCTAAAGGAACAATAAAACGCACAGAAAAAGGTATTACCTAGAAATTAGGTTTTTTGTAAATTATTTCATGCATTGCAAATGCATGCTATATCTCCGGCCCAACACTCTAAGTTTATCCTGAATTTCCATCTGGTTTTTTTTTTCGTGCATGTAAAAAACAAGGTATGAACTTGCAGTAGCCGAATGATTTATGCTGAGAGTATGCTTCTGACTTGATAGATACAAACTCTAGTCCGTTGGTGAACATGAGAATTTTGGGACATTACATTCTCATAAATGTTTTTCTTTTTTATTAAAGGACGATTACGATGTAAACATGTGTTTACTCAAACTGAAAGTTTCAAGCTGTCTCTGGTTGGATTAATCAAAATAATGTTTATTTGAGAACTTATGTAGGTGAATAGATAAGTAGATAGTTTTCTTACTAGACTAACTTTGTTCGTAATGTTCGGTCATCTTTGTTTCCACCATGTTTTTCCTTTTCCTTGTGCAGCGTCTATCTAGTCATTCCACAGTTACCCTTTCACACGGTTTGCATGCAAGTCTCAAAATACCTAGCCCCATAATTGGCTATAGGGCAACATATAATCTCCAAAATCTCCATGGCAACATGAGCAAACATGTGGTGGCCAATAGACTAAGTGTTTTTCAATATAGAAAACACATCGATACTATCCTTCTCTCAAAGGATAGAACTAAAACCAGTCTCAACTCTCAAGCCTTGGCTCAATTAAAATTTGAGAATCTTGTTTCTCAACACATTATTAAAATAATTAAAATATTGTGGTAATACAAACATAGTGATTGGTACAACCAAAGGGACCTTGTGCTTGGGGCATGTTAGGGAAATGATAAAGTCAATCATAAACTTTTAGGAGAGTTGGTTGTTGACACTTGATACAATTGTTTTCTTTTTGTGCCTTTGGCAATATAACTCACAACAAGAACTTAAATATAGAATTTAGAAAACACATTAACTAAAAATTCACACGGCTAATGGTTTCTACTTTAGTGGTGTAATTTAAAATCTTAGACTCAGCCGACATATATTGAAAAGGAATTAATTTCCTCCAGGAGTATCTAACTCTCTTAAGAATTATTTTGCTTAATAACTCATTATAAATATTGAGTTTCACAAATCCAAGGATATATAACTCAAAAACAACCATCTTAACTACAGTATCATTTGCCTGTTATATGGGATTGGTCAGTCTAGTGAGATTCCTAACTTTTTTCACACGTAAGGGGAATTCATTTCGTTTGAAAGTTAATTCTGAGGCATGTTCATTTCACTTCCAATAAATCTAGAAAACCACTAATAAAAGTGGTGACAAATTAAGTTTTGCATCTGTGGATTTTTAAGAATGTCTAGTGTCTAGTAAATGAGGTCTTTATTTATCTGATTTTTATAATCTCTTTTAGGTAGTTACTTTCCTTTCACATATTTTATAATTTGTAATAATTAAAAAAGTTCAAAAATTAGTTGGTCAATCTTTTCAATTTCCTTTCATTACAGCTTTACCACCTTCTAATGTTCTTTATTGTCTTCAGGAGAACTTTCTGTGTGTGTGCTATCTTTTGCAATCCTTACAAAATCTTTGCTTCCACTGCCTGACAAATATCACGGTCTAACTGATATAGATAAACGCTATCGCCAGAGGTAAGCTTGTAATTCAAATTTGTATTTGTTTTCCTTGTACTTGTTATTATTGCTGCTATATTCTATTACCAATGCATTTGGTGTTTTATGAGTGATATCTCTTCATTACAATGCTCTTATACTACATAGTTCACTTCTAACACCTCATTCTATTCGGAGTATATCAGATCCCATGTTCTTTCTTTCTTTTTCTTCTCTGGTAAATATTTTCTTCCGTCAAATTATTTTAATGGTTTTTATTTTTATTTGTTCTATACTTATTTGTTTCCTATCCTCTTTCCATTTTTGTAGCACTGCTTATTTTTCCTTCTTATTTCTACAGCATCTCCAGTTATCATTCTCACCCTTGAACTGAAAATTCAACATTCCTTTTTTTCAATCATCTCTTCTTCATGTTTGTTGTGGACTTGTGGTTAGGTATGTAGATATGATTGCAAATCCAGATGTAGCCGATGTATTCCGCAAAAGAGCAAAGGTGGTCCTTCTTCCAAACTTTATTTGCTTAAGGAAATCATTGCTATTTATTTTAGTTTTAATATTAAAAACATATAGCTTATTGTCAATTTAGAAATTTCATTTTATCTGCCCACTTCCCTGTTTCCATGCCTCTCAGTTGAGTTATAACTATCATGTGGCCACCTTCCTTTGCATTACTGATACCTCTCCATTTATCCATGCCAGAGCGTTTAGCTACTATTTGTATTATTTTTCTGATCAATTCCATTCAAATAGATTGTATCAGGGATACGAAGGACAATGGATTCTTTAGGTTATGTTGAGGTAGAAACTCCAGTTTTGCAGGTTTGTTGATTTTCGTGTACTTACACTATTTTTTCTTGGTAGGAAAAGTACATATAGGGAATCTGCTAGTTATTTCATTGAAACAAGTTATATTATTATTATTATTATTATTATTATTATTATTATTATTATTATTATTATTATTATTATTATTATTATTATTATTATTCAATATTAATAAAATGCTAAGAGCATCAGTAATTTTGATATTCTAACATGTCAGTTTGGTAAGCATTATATTATCTACTTGTATAGTATTCTCATATTTATGCTTTACTTTTGGACTCTTGAAAGTCAGATTGATATAGGGTTGTTAACATCTCAATTAAATTACTATGTGGCACCTGTTACTCTTATGTTATTGTTTATATCATAGCTAGTTGTGAATTTAATCAGCAAACTATTTGGTGGCAAGTGCTAGATCAATTTGTCTCCCCCTTTTGTCATCAATGTTTATTTGATTCCTTGTAATTACCAATTCAGTACAGAACTTTTGATGGTGACTAAAATAAGTTATCAAGTAGCCATTTATTTTAGAGATCTATTTCATTACCTTGTTGGTATATTTGTCTTGTTCGGTCACATGTTTGTTTCTGTTGTGATTCAGTAAATTTTGTTAATATTTAGCTCAATTGGTTGTGGGAGTTTAAGAACGTTGGTACTTGTCCACTAGGTACTGAGTTTGACTCCTGCTCCTGCAAAAGGCAGAAGCTCGCTAATTGGTCAATAGGTTTGCGGGTACTATCAGTATTAGCTCAATAGGTCAGCTATTGCAAATGGCTTCAATTTCTTAATAAAATTCTAAGAAGTTTGTGAAAGCAGTAACTAGATGGCTTTAGAAGAATATAGTTCCTTGTGTATAGATGAGGTTCACTATACAAAATGTAAGGGAAATAAAGGGATATGTAAATCATATAATGTTCCCAGATTTGCTCTTTTACTCGTAACAATCTGCATGCTAACTCACGGTTCTTCCTCGATATGGGTTATTTTTGTAAGCATTCCAAATCATGAAAAGGAACAAGTTTGTTATTCACATTTCATAGCTTCTATTTCTGAATCTTCCATATAATATTGTTTGTCATATGTATAAATACCATATTTTTCATTTTGCACATGGAGATTTCTTTTTTTTCCTGATTAATATCATTGACTAGGGAGCAGCTGGGGGAGCAGAGGCCAGACCATTTGTTACATATCATAATTCTCTTGGAAGGGATTTATATTTGAGAATTGCAACTGAATTGCACCTAAAGAGAATGCTGGTGAGATTTAAAATATTTTTTATTCTCAAAATCCTGGATCAACTTACCTTCATACAAGAGCTTACATTTTTTTTTCCAATGGAAGGAGTGTTGAGGAATCAACCTATTTTTATCTTCTTTTTTAGTAAGTAGTAACAATTTAATGCGGTGTTTATCAAAAGATATGCTAGTGCTCATCCCTAATGTAGTGCAAAAGAGTTTGATTACTAGTCCAAGATCTTGATTCTTTTCTGAAAAAAGTGCATCCTGTAAAATTGCTGTCTAGACAGTAGTAATAATTAGGATGCCGTCTTTTCTTTAAAGAAGAACTTCATTTGTTTTAGCTTCCATAGATGAGACTTCTTCAAGCTATAAATTTGAGATGGAGTATTATTGGAAATTCCTCCTTCATTACAGTCTGCCCCTAGCCGCCTAATTGCAGCATTTGGACTTCCTTCATTGCAGCCTTGAACCCCTTCATTGTCTTGGGTGTGAGGGGGGTGAATTTAGTCCCACATTGACTAAAGATATGGCCTGGGTAGTGTTTATAACGTTTAGGCAGCCCTTACCTTGCAAGCCAGCTTTGTAAGAATGATACATGCCCAACCAAATTCTAGGAGCGTACATTATTTATGTTGTTGATTTACTCTAGCTGTTAACCATTTTTATGTTTTTCTTTGTGCCAGGTGGGTGGGTTTGAAAAAGTATACGAGATTGGTCGAATATTTAGAAATGAAGGAATTTCAACTCGTCATAATCCTGAGTTTACAACTATAGAGGTAAATTGAAGTTTCAATTTAGAAAGTAAGATTTTGTTGCCTACCTTTGCATATCCAGTCCCAACAAATAAAAGAAATGGGTTGTTCAAGCTTCTAAGAATTGTCTTTTCAAATGTGCCCTGATAGTTTAAGTTAGTTTTAGTACTTGAGATGTGCATATATAATATTTCCACTAACTTTTCATGTCCTAACCTTTCAAGCTAGTTGTTTTAACAATGTTTACATGGTATTTTAATTTTCATTATTGTATAGTTTGCACTTCTCATTGTATTTTGAATTACATTCTGAACTGGATTCATATTAGCTAATCTTTAGATGTATGAAGCATACTCAGACTACCAAAGCATGATGAATTTGGCAGAGGAAATTGTCACTCAATGTGCTCTGGCAGTTCACGGGAAGCTTACTATTGATTATCAGGTAAACAGTGTTCTTACTGATCTAAAATGTTATTGGCCAGGTGTTAGAAGGGATGCCAAGTTGACTCTGAAAAGACACTTGATTCTGACTAATACATTTAAATAAATATAATCAAATTCAGCCTACGATGTTAAATTAAACTTTGAAATTGTGAGCTACTGGCTTGTATAGAATTAGATGCACTTGATATTGCAAATTTTCTTTTATCACTTTTTTTTGTATTGTTTCTATTAAAATTAGATTCACTTGATATTACAATATTATTCGGCTTCCTTTACAGTTCTCTAATGCTCGTGTACTATAACCGCAGATAGTCTTCTTTTGAATATTTTTATTTTTAAATAATTGTTTTTGAAGTGAGCGTAATGATTCCATACAGGGAGTGGAGATATGTCTTGAAAAGCCTTGGAGGAGAGAGACCATGCACAATCTTGTTAAAGAAATTTCTGGGATCGATTTCAATGAATTTGGAAATGATCTTGAGGTTGCAAAGCAAGCTACTCTGAGCAGCGTTGAAAATAATCTTGATAGCAAGGATAAAGCTTCCATTGAAGCGTGCCAATCTGTTGGGCACCTTCTTAGCGAGGTTGATTGGCTTCTCCTTTTATCTTCCTCTTCAATATAGGTTTCTATTTTATTCATCTTATTTGATAAAGCATGTTATATTTGCGATTAATCAAACTTCTTTTGAGGTGGTATTCTATATATTGACGTCTCTTTCTGAACATGCTTTTTTTGCATCTGTATATCGTCAATTTTACCTGCATACATTAACCAGTTTGTTTCTATTGTGTATTTAGGTTTTTGAGTTATTTGTAGAACCAAAGCTTATCCAACCTACATTTGTTTTAGACTACCCAATTGAGATATCTCCACTGGCTAAACCACACCGCAGGTAGACATTTTAGAACATCTAATGTTAATTATGTTTTTTTGCTGGTATTAAATGTGATTTGACCTAAAATACCATCAAATCTGGATCTTTGTTTCAATTAGCTCTGCCCTTTATTTTTATCACAATAGTCAAATTGTCAAATCCACTGAGATCATTCCTGGACTTTTTGATGATCAGTGTTCAGTGTTCACTACTCTTGTGTTGCAATTATAATTTAGATTTATTTGCACTTGAAATACTCTCATATCGTGCTGCTTCTTTTGAACTGAACCGTTGTTCCCTCATCACGTTGGATAAATTCTACAAAGGTTATGAATATCTGAAAAGATAACCTCATCATGAGCTTTCTAGTTTTATGAATTTAACATTTGTATCATGAACATTTTTGTCCTTTCTTCCGGTCACTAAGATATGTAAAAAAAACTATTATTCATATTATGCAACATATTGTCTGATGTGAACATCTTAAGCTATCTGGTACACATTTCCTGTTATATTATCTCCTATCTTACAGTTGATCCTCCATTAGGTCCACAGGTTTGACTGAGAGGTTTGAACTTTTCATTTGTGGTCGTGAACTAGGCAATGCTTTCTCGGAATTGACCGATCCTATAGATCAGGTAAGCTTCTTAAGTTTTCACTTTCAGTTATCCTAGCTATTGATCTCTCAAGTTTGATGGCGAACAAAATGGTTGCTTTTTTGTACTTCCCAGAGAAGACGTCTAGAAGATCAAGTTAAACAACATGAAAAGAAAAGAGCAGCTGTTTCAGCAAATGGAGATAAGAAAGAAGGAATAGAAAATGATGATGATTCATATGAAGTGACTCTTGATGAAGATTTCCTAACAGCTTTGGAGTATGGAATGCCTCCAGCTTCTGGAATGGTACATATTACATAATCAGTTAAATGTTGATAGGAACCGATACCAAAGTACAAACTATTTATAATCAACAATTGACAAATAAACCAACCTCTAGGAATTAGAGAGCCTAGTCTCTCCCAAACTAATTAAACACTCAAATATTTCCTGGATATCCCTCTAACATGTGATTTCCTTATTTTATATTCACATCACTCATAACTGCTACTAATTATTAATTAAAAACTAGAAACTGTTAATGAAAATAAATAACTGCCTATAACTAACACATGTCTTGGTAAAATTAACTTTATTTTGCTTCCTTTTATATTTCAGTTACTAAGAGTATATTATTTCCAGGGACTTGGAATCGATAGGCTCGTGATGCTTTTGACAAATTCTCCCGGTATTAGAGATGTAATACCCTTCCCGGTACTCAAGGTACAACAATAGAGACAGTTTTGTTATTTTAGCAGTTAATGTAATAAAAGAATACAAACATGTCATTATTTTCTCTTTCAAATGTCATTGTTAAGTCGCTTTAATTATTATTACTATTATGAATTTTATTATTATTAGTTACATTTGAACTGTGTATATCACATGGAATTAGATGTGTACTGAAATGGGAAATGATGAGATGTGTAACTGATAGTTTGAAACTATTTTATTGTTTGTTGAAATAACAAATACACAAGCATTTATATGATAAACACTTAATTAGAATGTGTATCCAAACAAAGCCCAAGTGAACTCTGTTCTTACAAAATTAATCAGATTTCTTTCTAGTATAGAACCATAGTGCAATCATACTATAAACTCAAAGTATACAATAATTATTAAGAAAGAAAACATTCCTAAATATTGTTATATATAAACACTCACAATCTTTTTTAGCAAGTCAAAAGGAAGCAATAATATGAATGGCTAAGTGGTAGGATTGATAATACCATCATGAACTTGAGAGGTGGAAAGTGAGATAATTCTCTTTTTCAGCTTATCTAAAGACTCCAATGTTGTGTCAAAAGTTGTAGGAACAATGGATACTTGTCCAGGATTTTGACTATTGTACACTGAGTAGACAATAGCATCTTCAAAACCTTGATTTAGAATGTAATGAAACAAACCTTTAGGAAAAACACAAACATCACCAACTTTGAGAACATTTTGGAAAACTTGGTTTTTTGTATCAATAAATCCAGCCATCAATACACCTTTTTTAACAAAGATCATTTCAGTAGCCCTAGGATGATAATGAAAGTTTACCAAGCCGTCATTTTCAATGTCGATCCTTCCAATCGATAAACCGAGAGTATTCAACCCTGGAAATTCAGCCGCAGTGACAAGTTTTACGGACGCGCCAAAAATGTCTTTAGGACTAGCCTTACTTAATTCAGCAGTCTTGAAATCTTGAGATGTTACATTAGATGGATTTTTGCAAGGTAGACCATTGATGAATATGGTTTGTTTATTTGGTGAAATTGATGGACATGTGTCTTGTAGGTTATCACAATCTGCTAAACAAATTTGAATGTTTGTCAAGACAACAATAAAGAAGAACATAAAGAAAAGGTTGTTAACAAATGATTTCATCTTGAATTTTCTCTACTTGGTTGAATAAATTATACACTTGAATATAAATATTTACACACAATAAAGTTTTTTATACGAGACTTTGGTAATGTGGATTGCAAGATATGATAGTCTTGGAATTCACTTTTGGATTTGAAGTATAATGTAAGGTGTGTTTGCTTGAAACAAAGGATTCATTTGAGTTAAATTCCACTGTTTTTTCTGAAACTTTAAGGTTGTATAATAATTAATTAACAAGAAATTTCCAAGTGCGGATAATCAACAATTATAATGTTGATTATTAGTAGAAGCTATTTTAGGACTAAGGCATATTTAGTTATCATTTTCAAAGGTCAATTCGAGTAAGTTATGCAGTCAAATATTAGGCCATGTTTCTATTTTAGATAGAATATATATTCCTTTGTAGTCACTCATTCAATTGTGTTCATCTAAGTAAAAGCAAAGTACAATTAATAACAGTATTAAAAAGTTAAAGGGTATCGAGTAGAATCTTTTTTATGGTAAAGTATTTTTGACAGTGACAATCGTATAGTGTATACGTTTGTGTATTGTATAAGGAATTTTTTTTGTGTACTAGGCAAATAGTATCGGCACGACAGATTAACGGTTTAGAAAATAATTGATACTATATGGCCAATAAGGCTTATATATTCTAAGATGATTCATATGTCAACACTACATTGCTCATTTTTTTTGTGGTGAAAGTCTACGAAACAATATATTATTACTTGGTCATTTTGTTTTGTCTACCATGGACCACTTGATAAACATACCAAAGTTGAAGTCGATAGGTAGAATGTTTGAAGGTTGTGCGATAGAAGAAGGGTGTATTCTCCGAGAGTATATAGAAAGGTTCGACAAAGAAACATTTTGGCAAAGGATGTTGACGACGACGATATGAAAATATACCTATTTTAACAAGAGTTTTTTTAGTGAGAAGGAATTCATAGAGACACCAATCAACTTCAACCACTTGTTAGATTTGGCTAAGAAATACATCCTATAAAGAAATATTAGCGGACATACCAATTTCTTATTCCATTCCATATTTAAAAGAAATATTCTATACAACTATTAAAATATCTTTTGAAAATCAGAAGTATATTTCCATATATTTTTCTGTTGAATTTACGTAGAAATCAGAAATGTATTTTCAGAAATTTTCAAAAATATATTTTCGATTCCTTCTTAATTTTCGATTCCTTCTTAATTTTTCCCAGATGTTTTTTCTCCTCTGGCAATCCAATCCAAAGTGAAACTCAAGAAGGATATATGCCTATTTATCAAATTCATATAAAGCATCTTCCAATAGAGCACACTGAAAATCACAACAGAAAATTCATCTAAATCAAAGTTCCTTTTCAATCTGACTCCTGAAGAATTAGCATACCACTAATCGTGAACTAAAACACCTACCACTTCCAAACAAAACAAAAAACCTCAAGTACTTCATGTGTTAAGCATCCATCAGTAGATTATGTACGCTCATAACTAGGCTTTAGTTAACCATTTTGCACTCTGAATTTCAAACGGAAGAAGTTGACATAACTTCATTGAAACTATATAAGTTTTTTTTATTGTTTAGCAGGAATTGGAAGTGTATTTTCGGAATTATTCGGAAGTGCATTACCGAAATAAATTTTGTCGTAAATTGGGAGGAATCTCAAAGGCGAATGAATTATATATTTATAGGTGTGTATCAGAAATACATTTTCGATTTTCAGAGATATTTTTAGAATTTCACGTGGTGCACTAGAAAAACATGAAGTTAAATAAGAAATCCTCTAAAATAAAGATAACAGAGGTCTATTCTCAAAATATGAAGTAAATAACTTCAAACACTCTTAGATAAGTGACGAAATAACAAGTAAATAAAGAAGAATAAATAAGGAGAAACAATTTAAACATGAGCTAGATTGAAAAAATATAGTAGATAGCATGATAAAAAAATGCGTTGACACCGACAAAATGTTTGGAGAACCACAAACACTATGTGTAAAGAATGAGCTTGAAAGTTATTTTCTTCAATATTTGAGATTTTGGGAGAGCAAGAATAGAGTGATACATAGTGTGATTTAAGGTATGTGAGTGCAATTTCACTATTAGATATTTTGCATGATGTCAAAACTCGAAAAGCTAATATTTCAATATGGTAGACGGTATCCTTATGTCTTGTGACACTCCGTTGCATTAGAGATCTTAGGAATCATTAAAACAAGTTTGAAATTGGTCCTATTCATGAAAAATCATTTTCTGCATTAATTTTTATTGTATGTGTCGACACATAAGTATTTCAGATCGACACATACTGGACCTTTTAAGAAATTACAGAAATGCTGATTTTATGTGTCGACACATATGAATGTCAGGTCGACACATGTACTGTATTTTTAAAGCCTATATAGCCTCTGACTTGCTTAGGTCGACACATTAGTTTTTCTGGTCGACACATGCAGTTAGAATTTGACTTATGTGTCTACACATACAATTTTTAGATCGACACATACTGTTTGATTGTGTCAATTTTTCAATTCTTTTTAATTTGAAAAATCTCATTTTTGCCCTAAAATTTCCAAAATTATAAATACTCATTCATGCATCATTCATAACCTGGTGAAACCATAAAATTAACTTATTTCTCTCTTCATCTTCAACCTCCAATCTATGCATACACATTGACATTATATTGTAACGATGTTCCGTTGGGGTGCCATCTAGACGAGGATTGCTAATGTCCAATTGTGTATTGGGTGAAATTTTGTAGGGGGTTTCATCCAGAAAAAACCTCGGGTTTATCCTCCAAGATCATTGGTCGATTTGGGGGTTTTCGTGCAAGACGATCAAGAGAGAATCACGGTCAAGTGAACAACCTCGGAGTGCTTAAAATCTTTGCAAGGAATCTTGGGGTGTTTGAAATCTTTACAAGGAAGTAGCTTAAAGTGTCAGATAGAATTGAAGATCTTGTGTTAATAGACTGCAATAGGATTTTTTGAGTGAACAATCTTGGAGTGTTTGAAATCTTTGCAAGGAAGTAGCTTAAGTGGAGAATAGGTTGGATCTATTGTGTGCTTGATCTTATTGAAGATCAAAATAATAGAAGGGGTTGAATCAACATCAAACGGTTAAAATTTGTAGGATTGCTCTTCAACACTTCTCTTGTAACCATACTTTTTCAAAGTAAGAAATCATCCTAATTCCAAATTTGGAATTGGAGGGAGATGTAGCCATGGAGAGGATGATTGGTGAACTTTCTAAACAAATCATTGTGTCTCTTATCTTTTATTGCTTTACTTGCTTTAATCTTCATACATTGATTTGTCAAATATCATTGAATAATTTATCGACGCGTAGGAATTTTTTGAAATTGTTCTTGTTTTGAATTGTGTGTTGAGTTGCTTATAATAAATTTTGATTATAAGTATGTTTTTATATCAACACAATACAAAGGAAAATTCTGAAACATTGATTGCACACCAAGTGTTTGACAAATTATTTAGCTTGTTTAACTCAAAAGAAAATTGCAATATTCTATCTCTTACTTTCATTTACTCTCTATATGTAATTTGTTGAATGTGTTATTTGATCGATTGATTCGTATATAATTTCTCTTTGATTATTAAAGTTTAAATGCTTTGTTGATTATTTTATAATCACTTTGATTGTAAGTGCTTTTGCATATCAACAAATCTCAAAGAAAATTCTGAAAAATTTGCGCGTCGCATGTTCAATAAATAGTCAAGTTATGTTTTTAATATGATTTCATTGAAAAATAAGAAACCGTTGTGTTTTATATTAAATTATTAATGGAGATATTATTATGTTGATTGATTTTATCATTATGTTACTTCCACATGGCTCAT